GAATTTATAGAAATGTCTGTTTTCTAACTCCAGTATACTGCCCCCTTGACACAAACCCTAAGTAAGTGGCAGCAGCAGGTTTGTTAGCCTAAGACCCGTTATTGGAGCAGAGCAGAAGTTGTTTTCTCTGGAGCAAAGTATAGTCTAATCTGTTTCTTTAGCTAGTGTAGATTACTTTCCTTCTCTGGTTCCTTAATTGAATGCACTGCCTGGTAGTTGGGGAGGCCTAGACTTTCCCCATGCCCCACATATCCATATAGAAAGGGGAGTAACAGCCCCAGAGATGCTGTTGTACCTCCTGTTGCACCTGGTAAGTAGGGATAGCCCATATAGGGGAATAAGAGTTTATGCTCCCTTACTTTACTATGTGGACACAGTGTGACCCCCTGCAGTCCATAGTAAATCAATGGGAGTCTTGCCAAAGGACTTCAAGATTGTACTCTAAATGTCTGACTCACTCTTGAAGTATTGCTAGAAATCTTAAAAGGTTGAAATTCAGCTGTCTGCTCTTAGCAAAGTTCTACACATCTGAGACATTGGGAGGTCTCAGGTTCTCTCTGTGGTTCTCCTTCCATGAACATGGAGCTTGATCCTGTGTCCAGTGAACATAGTGGTAAAACAAAACTTGACTCCTGATTAAAATTTTATTTAATAAGGTGTAATGAGTTAGTACATTTTGTTTTAAAATACCTCTTACATGAATTGCTTTAATGTTTAAATAGGGATTAGTACTTTATATCTAGAAAAGTGAGTTTTCAAAATTTAAACAGTTAGAAATTTCCTCTTACACTCTTCCTGAAAAAAGTTTAGCACTGACAGATTGCTAGATGCAGATTGCTTTATAACTGTCTTATGTTTTCTTTGGCCAAGATTTTACAAAAATTAGAGACTGAAGTTAATCTCCAAACTTGTAGTTAGGAATTAAAATAAAAGTCCCGTGTTTTTGTTTTTCCTCCAAAAAGTTCTGAGCACGTAGTGACTGCTGAAACTTTTGTTTATCTTGGCTTTTTTAGCTTGTTTGTCTCAAGGTATGTAGGTGTGTTTATTCCTGCATGAATAATGCCGACACCTACATTGGTGGGGGAGGACAGACTATGAAAAAATGAGTTGGTATGTGTTTTGAAGTTGCTTAAGAATGTATGTTGCTTTTATGTAGAAGCAAAACAACAGTCTTTTATTGGAAATGAAAATAAGCAATTTGGTGGCAGAAAACTTTGTAATTAACGTCTTAGGTCATTCATGAGGTGTTTATACTTCAGCTCTCTAACAGACTGAGGACTTTCAGAAATACGTGGATTTATATTGAACCATATATATTTGCATACACAAATGGAGCAGCATTTCAGATCAAATATCATACAGTCTTAGAATTCTAGGTTTGGAAGAGACCTCAAGAGGTCATCCAGTCCAACGCCCCACTCAAAGCAGGACCAACCCCAACTAAATCATTCCAGCCAGAGCTTCATGCAGTACTTCAGATGGGGCATCACCAGTGCTGAATAGAGGGGAATAATTACTTCCCTTGATCTACTGGCAATGCTTCTACTAATGTAGCCCAACGTGCCTTTAGCTTTCTTGGCAATAAGGGTACACTGTTGACTCATATCCAGTTTCTCTTATGCTGTAATCTCTAGGACTCTTCCCACAGAACTGCCGCTTAGTCAGTTGGTCCCCAGCCTGTAGCAGTGTATGGGATTCTTCCATCCCAAGTGCAGGACTCTAGCACTTCTTGTTGAACCTCATCAGATTTCTTTTGGCCCAACTGTTCTCCAATTTGTCTAGTTCACTCTGGACCTTACACATACCTATCTACCCTTCCCTCCTGCTCCGCCCCCCATCGCAGTGTCATCCACAAACTTGCTAAAGGTGCAATCCACGCCATCATCTAGATCATTAATGAAGATGTTGAACAAAACCAGCAATAAGACTGACCCCTGGGGCACTCCACTTGACACCAGCTAGACATTGAGCCCATTGATCACTATCCAGTGAGTCTGGATAGAAAGCATGTTTTCTTCTTAAGGGTGAAATGTTTTTACAATGAGATTTGTCTCCTAATGAATTTATGAATTTTTCAAAATTTTTAATATAGTAGGGAGAAGAGAAATGTGGTGCTCTTGCCTGGCTTGTAAACAACTAATTTATGAAGAATCTACCACTTGGGCTACTTCTGTGTGGCTCGTGCTGCAGTACAACCAGGTGAGAGCATGCATCATAATGTGATTTTAATCCTCTGCTGCAGCAATTCTTACGCAGCCCTGAGTGGGTATATGAATGCTTATTGTAAATCTAAAATGTTGTGGATTTTAAAAAAAATTCATTTCTGTAATATTGACAATAATCCTTTATAAAACGCAGTATGATTATCATTTTTCTATCTAACTATTAAAGCCAGTTAGAAAATATTCTTGAATTTTTTTAATTGTAACTTGACACATTCTTCTGAACCCTCCAGTATTACATGGATGCACTGATGGACTGTTGTAATATTCTGTCAGTATTAATTTTTTGGAAAAATAAACACACACACAGGGGTGGTATATATTTTTCATCAGTATTGTGTAACTGATTGGCCTGCAAAATATCAGCTTCTTCACAGTTGAAGCGTTCAGTATGCATTTTTGTGTTACAGCTGAAGGATGCTGTTAAGAGGTACTTCAGTGGTACATACCATGCATTTGTAAATATCTTTCTGAAAACTGCCAATCGTTGCAGTCTAAACAGTTAAAAAGTGTCATTCATAAGATGTTGGTTTATAGGTAAACACTTTAGATTGGTTACTTTTAACATCAAAGACAAGACAACATAGCAGAATCTTTTTATTAACATTTTAGATTATAGATGTAGTCGGTATTGCTGCCTGCTGTTAATGTTGCCTGAAATTTCCTGGTGTAAGACAGCAAAAATGATTCAGCCATTTCCAAAATCAGGATTTGGAGAAAATAGTTGTGTTTCAGTGCCTTTATGCAAGAGAGCTGGGATTTGAAATTTGGCAGAGGCATGATGGCATGGCCTTTGTGTCAGAGGTTTTGTGCCATTTTCATTTGAAAACCCATCCAAATTTGGCCAAAAATTTAAGTTTTTGAAAGATCTCTGTTGATTTATGCTTTATAGATACTTGAAGTTGAACTAAATTGAAGATTTTTGTCTGCATTGAGTATGTTCCAGCTCGAGTGGAAGACTGGAATTTATCAAATGATCCTTCCCCTGTTGTCCAGTTCTAGCAATTCTGCTGGTATCCAGGCAGTGTGGAAGAGCAATAGACTGCAGTGAACAGGATGTTAGAAACTGTGGGAGTAGAATGGGACAAGGAGCATAGGATTGAGAAATGGGGACAATGAAAAATGAGAATAAGTGGAGCAGGAAGACTGAAGTTGGATGAGAATCCTGGAGTCTGTGACTGTCTGCACAAGGAAATGGATGGGGATACAGTAACTGGGAGTGGGGGTGGAAGGAACATTGGTGCTTAGGAAGCCTGTAGGGGAAGACCAGGACTAGCGTGAGGAGGGTGGCTAGGAAGAGATGGACTGGAACAGGAGTTAGAAGGGCTTTGTATTTTTTGGTGTGGAGGAAGGAACATGAATTGAATCATTTGTGTCTACTACAGCACACTACCTTCCAGAACCTGGACTTGAACTCAAGATTCCCACCATTCCTCCGCTGTCAACAAACATCTAGAAACTTGCTGGCAAGGTGTGTCTTCCCCTCTAGTGTCTGGTCCACATTGACAATGACAGCCTGCTGCTAGCAGTTACTCTCTTAACTCAAAGGCAGAGTTCTGTGCTGTGGATCTAAAAGTTTCAACCCTGTGGATGATCCAAGCAGGTGTCAATATGATACCACGTGATATAATTTTTCCAATTTGCATTCTTAAAGACCTAAAAATTACACAAAAATTTGTTCAACAAATATTAATAAAGTTGCAAAGTCAAGCACTGAAAAGTTGGGAAATGCCAGAATTAAGGTTATCTGTGCAACCTTAATTTGCTCTCCTTTTGCATGCATATGCATTATGATGTTTTTAATTACATGAGCACATACTATTTTTTTCCACAGGACCACTTTTTCATTTAGTAGGTTAGAGGACTGGTACTCTGGTGAGAATCAGTATTGCGTAGTAAAGGGGTCTGTTTGTAAGACCTGTTTCATTTCTTTGCTGAAGTCGGAAGGTGTGTAGTGAATGATGTAGAAGAGTTCCTCTGTGATGTTGGGCAAGTTACTTATACCACATTTTCCACAGATGGCCACTAATTGTGCATTCACCATTTCCTGAATACCTGACTTGATAACCTAAGGCTATGTCTAGACTACATCCCTTTTTCGATAAAGGGATGTAAATTAGGCATGTCCATATTGCAAATGAAGCCGGGATTTGAATTTCCCTTGCTTCACTTGCCTAATGGCGGCTGCTGCTTTTTTACCGGAACGGGGCTTTTTTGAAAAAAAACAAAAAACACTCCGGCAGTTTAGATGGGGCATTTTCAACAGAAATGCCCCATTTCGAAAGACTCTGTACTCATGTATTTAGGTGGGATGCTGATTACTTTTTCCAGAACTGCAGAACAATGTGTAGATTGGAAGCTAGTATCTTTCACTAAAAGAAGTTGGTCTAATTAAAGATATTACCTCGCCCACTTTGCCTCGTGTGTCTACCACTGGCAGATGCTGAAATTGTACAAATGGTTATCCTAGAACATGCCAGCGTGCAGCATGGCACTTTACTCATCCTGTTTCAGTCTCCCTCGTCGTTGCCCAAGAATGTAGTGTTTAAGTAATATTTAGCAATTTAATCTGGTGGTCTTACATTTAGCTTTAAATCCTACAGGCATTTGCGCAAACTGTCAAGACAAAAATATAGACGGGAGAAAAAATACAGGGATATGAGCAAACTGTACATTGATATTTGTTATAACAATCAAATGTGTGAAGCAGCTCATGCAAAGTTACTATTCGCACTACAATAAACACAAGCTGTAATAAAGTACTCTGACAATAGTTAGAACAGTGAATGTCAACCAGTAATATTACTGCACATTATACATTTCCCAATATTTTTACATTTTATTTGCACGTGAAAAATACAACCAAAAAACCTCACGAATCAGACCGAGTAGAGCTCTAGGCAGTGCTAATCCATTCATGTCTCAAAAACCCAGAAATGGTGCAAAATAATATCCTTGGTTGGCTGCACACAGTGGTCCATCTCATAGTCATTCTACTTTCAAGAGCTCTGGATCTTGCAAAGGAATTACTTTATTTAAAACAGCAATCTGTATTAGATGTAGTAGATGACTTGAAAACATTCTACAGAAAATGCATCTTTAGAATAGAGAACAATAGATGAAAGGGCTGTGGTTCATAGCTTTTATTGACATCAGTTTGGAATTACCACATTATGACTGGTGGAGCCACAAACGAACAGCTTCTACCTGATTTGGGTGATGGCATTTAAAAATAACTTCTTCCGATTTTCTGATATTGTAGACTTGATGTTCTTCAGATATGCATTTCTCATTGCTAAGTGGAAGTTTTCAAATAATCTTCTAGTGAGACTATCCTTAGTGTGTTTGGGTTTAATTTTTTCCCCTTTAGAATGCTCGATCCAGAAACTTTGGAAAGTTATGAAAAAAATACACACAAAAATCTAGATCTTAACTTATTCCAGTTCAGTCTAATTAGGAAATTCTAACAATATGTTTCAGTTTGGTGGAATCTTTGGTGTTGTTTTGACTGTCGATTAAAACAAGGGGTGTATACTGATGATTCTCTATTATTTCAGCAACACTTGCAAAGCGCTGTATTGAGAAAACAGAAATAAGTTAGAAGACTCATTGATTACTTGGGAAACAGAATGGAAATCACAAGAAGTGCTACCTTCTCTCTGCCACTTTGGAACTACAGGATCCTCGGAGACCATGTTATCTATAGGTGACTCCCCCTTCTCCTGTGACTATTGTTGCCTGCACTATGTACTTTGTTTTGTCTGATAGAGTACAGAGAAGGAGGCAGCAGGGATGCTTGTGGGGAGGTGGCAATTCACTAGCCAGTGTGGCAAATAAAGCTCCAAACAGTAGTAACATTTCATTCCTTTTCTTCAAGGGTTAGTTTATTTCTCAAAATCAGAACAGTCCAACATAAGCCAGGTGTTGCTGGTTGGCCCATTTCCCCTGACTTAGGGTCTTCCTCATCTCCTTGCTGCCCTTTTAGATGAAGAACAGAAAATCTGCAGGCTATTACCTCATCTCTGGCCTCAAACCCATCATCTGGGAGGCAGATAATAAGGTTCAGGTGAGACTAAGTTTATTTCTCTCAAAAAGCCCTCCTACTCTGTGAATATGTCCGATTGCAATGATATTGGAGCCCTCAAATCTCCCTACTGCTTTAGAAATAACTTGATTTTCAACATTACACTTCAGAAAAGTTTTTGCACTTGTGCAAATGCAATTCAAAGATATAAACTCTTTTTTTTAAGTAAGTGGTGGGAGGCAGAGGGAACAATTCTGACTAATTTTCTCCTGAAATATTTTAATGTAACTGTTCTTTTTAAAAAAAAATCCCATTGAGTTCTATGGGAGCTGTTGCATAAAGGATGGTTAAAAGATTAGTTTTTAAGAAAGGATGGAGAATTTACGTTCAGTAAGGTTACATCTAGATTACAAGTTTCTTTCGAAAGAAGCTTTTTTCGGATATATACTTAATCATTGTGGATAACAGCAGGATGAGAACTTCAGTTAGGGTTTGTCTACACTACCGAGTTTTGTTGGAAAAAATGGCCGTTTGTCCAACAAAACTTGAGGAACGTCCACACTGCAACTGCATTCTTCCACAAGAAAATTGAAAGAACAGAGGGGTTTTTCCAGCATTGGTAAGCCTCATTTTGTGAGGAAGAAGCATTTTTGTGAAAGAGCTCTTTCACAAAAATGCTTCTTCCTCACAAAATGAGGCTTACCAATGCTGGAAAAACCCCTCTGTTCTTTCAATTTTCTTGTGGAAGAATGCAGTTGCAGTGTGGACGTTCCTCAAGTTTTGTTGGACAAACGGCCATTTTTTCCAACAAAACTCGGTAGTGTAGACAAACCCTAACTGAAGTTCTCATCCTGCTGTTATCCACAATGATTAAGTATATATGGATATTTTAAACTAATCTGTGACTTTAAAGTCTCAATTTGCAATTACCTAAGTTACACTTCTGAAATGGATTTAAATCAGTGGTTCTCAACAAGAGTACATGTACCTCCCTTAGTATGCAGAGGTCTTCCAGGGGGTACATTAGCTCTTATAGATACTTATCTAGTTTTACAATGGGCTATATAAAAAGCACTAGTGACCTATGTACAAACTAAAATTTCATACACATTAGTTTATTCTGCTACATACTGTACACAAAATGTAAGTATACTCTTTCTGTTGATTTGTTTTTATAATTATATGGTAAAAAGAAAAAAGTAACCATTTTCCAGTATGTGATGACACTTTTGAATTTTTATGTCATCTGATTTTGTAAGAAAAAACTTTTTAAGTGAGGTGAATCTTGGGGGCTATACAGGACAAATCAGAGTCTTGAAATGGGGTAATGTAGTCTGGAAAGGTTCAGAGCCACTGATTTAATGTATCTAATTTGTTGCACTGGATTTTTCAGTCTAAAGGATAAATCAATTATTTGATGAGGTATATGGTTATCTTTTTGCATGAAGTTTTACATTCTAACAATGTAACTTAAAATAGACCCCTTCTTTTTTAATTATTAGGGCATAACACTGAAAAGGACAAACCACTCACCTCCTCGCCAGTTTTTTCTCTGCCCAGTGCAAATCGTTTAGTTGATTCAATGAATCGTACAGGGATATTATAAACTTTTTTGTTGTAAAACACAACTAGCGTGTATGGTTGCTTTGAATCCTGACCAGAACTCTTCCTTATCAGAAAAGATCCATCCTAAATCAAAGGAAAAAAATAATACTTTATTTTGTTGCTTTCATTGAACAGATATCCATATTAATATCAAATCCCTTCTTCCTTTATGATTGGGGGGAGGGTGAAATTGCTGGGAGAAATGGGGGAGCTTCTCCCTGTCATTAGCTTATACAGGTATTATTTAGCATCATCCTCTGCTGTCCTAAGTCCCAATGACTGCTACTGCTGCATGTTCCCTCCGAGCTAGAGAAAGGAAAGGTAGAAATGAACTTGCAGTAGCAGATTCCTGGGGATCACAGGACATAAGGATGTGATTTCTGGATAAGTTCTACCAGTGGCAGTAGGTAGGCAAGGAAGGAGAAAGATCCTGAGCAGATGACATGTTCTCAACACAAGCATAAGTATACAAGCAGCCAACAAACACCGAGAGCCACTGTTGGCTAATGCTTCCTAGCCAGTGAAATCCTATTCTAAATATTTAGCTACTAGTCTGTCCCTCTGCCCTAACTGCGGGGCAAGGGGAAGAAAGCTTTCTTAGGCTATGTCTACACAGCATGGAAAAGTTGGGAAAAAATATGCAAATTGAGAATTGCAATTTGTGTATCTTTTTCTGCTTTTCTTCTGAAAAAGACTTTTCCAACATTTGGCCCGTCTACACGGGGCCAAATGATAGGAGAAAAGCCTTTTTTGTAACATCCCTTCTTCCTCGTAGAATGAGGTTTGCAGGGATGCTGAAAAAAAAGTGTCTGCTTTTCTGAAATTTTTTCCGGAAAAGCAGACGTGCTTCTTGGACATAGCAGAGCTTTCCCGGGATACCAGAGCTCTACCGTATAGACATAGCCTTTGAGACAGGGCCTTTTTTCTGGCATTTAGGATGCTGCCTATGGTATTAGAGTGTTGTACAGTCTAATCTAGTCTCAGTCAGGAAGTTTAGTCAAAAGTCTAAAGCCCACATCAGAGGGCTGAGGTGTTAAGTTATCATTTTCAAATAAAGTGGTAGGACCAATTTTTACTGATATCAGCATTTAGTATCCGTGATGGAACTTGTACAGTATCTCTGTCCAGTTACTTGCCCTTGTAAGGGATGCACCTGAATGAATTTATCTTTTCCACCTCTTGATGTCATAATACTGTTATCTCTAATATGCCAAAAATCAGTACCGATTTACACAGGTGCAACTTTAATTGACATTAGAGAAAACTATTTCAACTAAATCTGAATTGTATAATGACATTTCAGCTGACAATATTCTAATTTGTTCAGGGTGAGACTAAAAGAGGGAACAATTTAAGTTGTATTCACCCTTCACCATTTCTAAAATGTTCTTAACATTTGTAGTATGCTTCTTTTAACTCCCCGCTTTACCTTATTTGATTTGTATAATGCATCTTCTGCAGTTTTTCGATCACAACAAGCTGCATACCATGATTTATCATGAACACCAGCATCCTGTGAGAGAAATGGAGACCTTTGTCAATGCAAGGGATTTGCCCTGGTTTTCATCTGGAATATACAGCAAAATATAATAGTTTCTTCATTGGATATTGTGTATGACATAGCTATAAGATAGGGGTAATAAAAGATGAACACATAATGTAGTGTGGCCATTGCCTGACAATGATTATATAGAAATAATTATGCAGAGCAGTTTAGAAAACACATCGTTAAGACACAGCCCTCAGGGAGCAAAGAGTAGACATGCACAAGCAATGTAATTACTGTGATACCTGCTTGTTGACTTAAGTCAGCTTAATTTTGTAGTGTAGACATGTCCTAAGACCAACAGGTATTTGAGCCTACCTAGTGATTTTGACCATGGAGGTGGAAGGTTCCATAGGATATTGTCTTTGAGGACAAGTATGTATGTAAGGCTATGTCTCACTATGAACTAGAGGTGTGATTCCCAGCTCATGTAAGATACTCAATAGCTCCATCAGACTAAACACATATATAAATAGTAGAGCAGCTGTAGTAGCACAGACTGCAGGACCAGCACAACTTAGCCATGTCAAGGACAGACCTAGAGGGATTTGTGCTTGACGTGCTATTGCAGATACACTACGATATATATTTGCACTACTTCGAAGACACAAGACAGTTGTGGTGGAGAAAGAAAGTGTGTGAGTGAGCAGAGAAGCAGGACAGAGAGTAACAGCCTGAAGAAGCAGATGAGAGCACTCCCCTGCAAAAAGCCAAGTGAGACGTTGTGTTGCTGCAAGTAAGGACACTATCTTCAGATGTGGAGTTCATCTAATGTTTGGAGAAATAGGATTTTTGTTATGTTCTCAGTGAATACAATTGTAACAAATGTAGCACACTTGAACTTCAGTTTCTCTTCTGAATTGAAACAATTTGTGAGGACCCATATTTTGACTAGATGCTCAGTCAAAATGGGGTGATAGTAATTTTAAATTGTATGAGCAGAAACTTCATTCTCATCTATAATTTGCTCTATCAATTTCCCATGCTCTTCAAACCAGCAACTATTAATTCAATCCACAGCTGAGGATGGATATTCTCATTCAATTTAAGTTTTTTTTCCCAAGACTGTTATAAAAGAATCTTGCAAAATATATGCTTTCCACTTCTTTTCTTCCATTCCAGTTGGGTTCTTTCATCCAATAGCTACTCATAGATGCTAAGAGTGTACTACTTTTATACCTCCACCATTTCTCACATTGCAGACCTCTGTATTGAACAAGCCCTGCTCACCAATGAGTACAGATATCTTTTGATTATGTATTGAAAGGATTCTTCAGCAGGTATCTCAATTCCTGGGATCAGGTCCCAGGCCTGCCATTTACTTGGCATGTAATCTTAGACAAGTCCACTAAACCTCTCTGGTGCTTTAGTTCTCCCAGTTATAAATGGGTACAATATTTTTCTAATTCCTGGTGTGCTAGGGGGACTTTCTTAATTCATATATGTGAAATGCTTTGAAACTTCAGTTTATAGGAGCAGAGTGTTACCATTAGAAGTTGGGATCTTCTGTAAAGGAAAAATAGCAAGAGTAAAACTTTCAAAATCACCTAATTCCCAGTTTCAAAAATTACGTGGGCATTTAGGAGCCTTGAGTCCCATTGACTGTCAATGAGTCGTAGGCTTCTAAATCACTCAGATATTTTAGAAAAATACCCTACATATCTGGAAGCACATATTTTTGCTCAGATTTATTTTCCTGTAATTTAGAGGGGAGATTACATTTATTCTGAAATGTGCAGAAAGGGAAATTACTGTAATGTTTTAAAATGTGCTTTATTTTGTTCTATGAGATGATATGCTGTACATAAGATAGACACAGTTGGATTGGGATAAAAGGGTTCAACAAAGTAGCTGACTTTTCATTAGAAACCTGCAAAAATACTGTCCCACTGAAAGAGTGGGGAAATAACCAGGACTTGCAGTGTAGACATACTCCTGATTTCAAAATAAGCTATTCTGAAATAGCTTATTACAAAATAGCATATCTACACTGCAGGAAAGCCTCAAAATTGGTCTGTCAGGCTTCCCTAATGCAGACGTGCTATCTTGATTTAAAGCCTCAGGAGGCACTGGGGAAGAATAACTTAGAATGGCTCCGGTGAGAGTCTATTTTGAAATAGCAGTGGAGCGTCTACACAGCCCCTATTCCAAAATAACTATTTTGGAATAGGCATTATTCTTCACAGAATGAGGTTTACAGAAGTTGGAATAAGCTGTTTTATTTCAGAATAAGCTGAAATTATTTCAAAATAATGGAATTGCTGTGTAGATGCTTACATAGTTATTTTGGAATAAAAGCCGTTATTCCAAAATAACTTTGCTGTGTAGACACACCCCAGGAGCCCAAAAGTGAAAAGGGCTGATCTGAAAAGCTTTGGTATTAAAGTGGTTTCAACCGGTTAACTAAGACCAGATAAAAAGTAAAACTAATACTAGGACCTCTGAAAAGATTTGAAACCCTGAAGGGGACCTTTCTGCAAAGGATTGGATTAGGGTTCTAAGATGTAGCAACACAGACAACAGCAACAAAACATGGCCTCTTTATACATCGTGTGAGTTTACAGTACAAGTATAGGTGAAGTGAGCTAAAGTTCATTATAGAGCAAGTATGCAGGCTGAAACAGAGAGCTCAGCATGTCCTTGACTCTGAGCACTTCTGTATCTTTGACCTTCCCCACGTAGAAAAAGAAAAGAAAGAGTTTCCTAAATATTAGCCAAGATACTTTCTCCTTTAACTACTCCAGATTTTGAGGAAGCGAATCTTTGTTCTCTCTCTCTCTCTCCCTCAGTTTTAAGGAGCGATTGTTACTCAATTCTTTGTGGTATGGTGTTTCCAGAGTGAAGCTTCCTTTTGATAATGAGTAATTATTTGTAAGGGTTCCTTGTGCTACTGTTGGCTGGGAATTTTTGCCTCCAATATGTTGTATAAAATAGTCATTGATCTCTCCCCTCCTGAAAGTAACAATTCTTCTTGGCTGCCTTTCATTCTCTATAGATGATAGGCCTAATCCTTCTATTTTCTTATAATGCATCCATCACTTTGATATCAATGCCATTATCCTGGGGCCTGCATGTTAAAAGCCTTTCCCATTTCCCTTTAAAAAAGGTTAATGCAGAGTGCAAATATATTTCGAAGGCATCCATTATATTTGCATGTGTGAGCAAAATCAAAAGTGAAATATGGGACGATTGAGTCTGGATATAAGTTTGTAATGATTTACTACATTCCAAATTGCTAGTGACTCTGAAAGCATCCAGTGGTTAGGCATATGGAGTTGTTCAGAATGAGAAGGTGCATGTAATCATGGCAAATCTTAACATTTTCATTATACATCCTTTAGCTGTCCCATCACACAATCTCAATTTTATCCCTTTCTGTTGGATTAAAAAAAAATTGGCCTGGGGCTCTTTTTCTCTTTAAGGGTAAGCACATATGCAGACTTGTGGCTGCTCAGAAGTTATTACTGTGAATAGATAGAATTGTCATGGTAAATAATTATTGTATAATTAGTGCTGTTCTGCAGATGTCACCCCTATAACCTCTTCTTAAGACTACTACTATCTAGAATTTGCTAGAATATTCCCTGTCTCCATTTTAAGTTTAACTATCGTTTCTGTGTACCATGAGTGCACATATCATACGGGTTTTTTTTAAGGATAGGAATATGTCATTTCTTTTTCACACATCATAATGGCTTTACAACAAAGTTGTTGCTTTCACAGTGTGTTGTAAAACAAATTGCCCCTCTGCTCTCTATAATGCAAGGGGTCCAAAAGTCCTTCAAATCTAAGACAGTGTGACTGGAAGGGGGAGCAATGGCAAATCTGGAAGGCACTACGGTGATTAGCCCAGTATAAAAACCTATGTGAAAGAGACAAATTCCCATTAGCTTTTCCCTGAACATGATGCCTTCCTGCTTCCAGTCGCAAACTTTTGTCTCTTACTTAGTGGAACAGAGAACTCATGCCAGCTGTGTGGTGGAAGTCATCCAATTAATGTTAGGTCTTCATGAACCAAACAAATCAAAGAGCTTGTGCTGTGCAATTTTCTGCAGCAAATAATAATACCAGTGTACATTATAATTTTGAGGAAAATATCACTAACTTTATTAGCATTGCATCACTTTTTCTGGTCAAATGGCTCTTTTAGTCAGTCAGTCTTCTGGTTTTACCCATAATTATATTTGGAGTTTTTAATATAGCAGTTATTACAAGCTGTTTGCTTTGGTGTCTGCTGGATTGTTTTTATGAAAAAAATATTTTTTTCATAGTATCCACTATGACAGACTGTTAAAAATTGTTCCATAATTGCAAGTTCTTTGTGTTCCTTGCTGCTATATTATCTTTGTTATATCAGCCTTTAGAACATTTAATTTTACTGGCTCTGAAATAACAGAGCCATTGTTAGGCACTCGAGAACTATTTCTACTGTTTGTGATTACCAGACAGGACTGATTCCTGCATTTTGGCTTCTGCCATCTTCTGAATGGAGATGGAAGGGGGAATATCGAAATAAAAATAGCCATATTTTCTTAGATTTTTTTCAAACCCATTCTATTGAAATAGAAAAAGGTTTCCAGTTATTCCCCACGATAACTTGGCACTAATTCCAAAAGGGGCTTATAGTGAAAGGAAATCTGTTTTAGGGAGCAGCATGGCGCAAGGCTGAGAGGAAGGAACTAAGATTACATGTCAGAATGTAGTTTCCACAGAGGAGGATGTGGGCCATCAGTGGCCTCTCACTTGATCTGTTAGGCTATATCTACATAGCAGCATTTTCAGACAGCAAGCAGTTATTTTGACATAATGTCAAAAAAAGTTAAGCTGGAGGACTTCTTACTCTGGCTCGTGTAACCCTTATTGTATGAGGAGTAAGGGAAGTCGGAGGAAGAATGCTCTTTCTCGGACTTCCTGCTGTGTAGACAGCGCCAAAAGCCGAAATAAGCTATTTCAACTTAAGCTACGCAATTGATGTAGCTCAAGTTGCGCAGCTTATTTAGGCTTTAGCCCTATTGTGTACGTGTGCCCTTAGATCTCCCCATTCTCTGCTGATGAACCAAAGTGCAGTAAACAGGACAACATTTTTAAATATGACTCTGTCTTTTGCATTCTTATGCTTCTGTATTGTATTATCTCTGGCAGACTTGTGCTCCAGCCAGATTGGAGTATCTCCACCTAGCATGGCTAGTAAGAATTAGCTGTACTTTTACTAGTGTATTTTGGGATCTCTCACTGTCTATAAACTGACACAATAGGTGCAGATGGTTTGCATGGCTTTGAGCTAAACATGGATATATACTTTCAGAAAGGCTAGAGAGTAATAGAGTTTAGCTATGAAATACAAAAAAGTAAAAGGGCAATTAAGTGCACTCTCACTGTCTTGCACTGAGGATGGAGCTAAATACATCAATATGGCATTTTCTCTTTACTCATTATGAGATTGTTTGGTACAAAGTGAAGACCTGAAACAGTTGGACTAAACTGCTTTTCAGTTCCTGTTTGCATTAAGCAAGAAAACTTTTCCTGCTTAGGTCTGGTATGACCATATCTAATCATAATTCTGTAGTTTAGCATAACTTTCATACCCTGTTTTTCATCTATTTTGGGATGGAAGTGATGACTTATAACTAGATGACTTAGAACATAACAAAAAGATTTCACTGTATATAGAGCCAAGTTGTTGTCATAAGTAGGGCCCTATCAAATTTATGGTCCATTTTGGTAAATGTAATGGTCATAGGATTTTTTAAATGGTAAATTTCAGGATTTCAGATATTTTAAATATGAAATTTCATAGTGTTGTGATTGTAGGAGTTGTATGGTAGTCACAAGGTCATTGAAGAGACTGCTACTCTTACTTTTGCACTGCTGTTGGTAGTGGTGCTGCCTTCAGAGCTGGGCAGCTGGAAAGCAGTGGCTGCTGGCTGGGAGTCCAGCTCTGAAGGCAGAGCTACTGCCAGCAGCAGCACAGAAGTAAGGATGATATGGTACGCTACCCTAATTTCTGCACTGCTGCCTGCAGAGCTAGGACCTTTGTCAGCAGCTCCACTTTCTGGGTGCCCCACGCTGACAGCAGCAACACAATAGTAAGGGCAACATGAACATGGCATTGTTACCCTTACTTCTGCTGGGAGGGTGCTGCCTTCAGAGCTGGGTACATTACAACCACTGCTCTCCAGTTACCCAGAAGATAGGCAGTGCAGAAATAAGGGTGGCAATACTGCGTGGCCCTCCTAAAATAACCTAGTGATGTTCCTGCAACTCCCTTTTGGTCAGTACACCCAGTTTGAGAAACGCTGGTTTCCCACATGAAACCTGTACAGAGTAGGATAAAAGCATACAAAAGGCCAAACTGCATGGCAGGATACCAGGTTTTGTGGTCTGTGACACATTTTGCGTAGCTGTGGATTTGGTAGGGCCCCTAGTCATAAGGGACAAAATGGACCACAAGCACCCTCAGCACAGGATTATGCTTTCTTGGTGTGAAAAATAGGATTAGTCAGTCAGGGGGTCTTTCTAAGATTCCTCTTACAACAGATCCCAGTGGCTCATGCTTCCTCATGTGTTTTTCCTTGTTTTACCCTTATCTCATTTCATACCTGGTCTGTAGTATCCAAACTAGATGAAATGCTGCTGCGTGGAAAAGTGCCCATTGTACGGTTTGCAACGTCTAGTGGTTCTGGGAAGAACAAAGTGTAACGTGTAAGTGTCCAGTATCACTATTCCTATTAGTTTGTTGGGGACAGAGATAGGAGGAAATAACAATGCAGTAGATTGTCACAACTCTGTTGGTTAAGGGAATAAGGAGAAAAATTCATTCCACTCTAACAGAGTCCAATATCTTCATAAAAAAGCTCATTAAAATTCTCTGAATAATTTATAACCATATAATGGAAATGCTGAAAACTTTCAGGTATATATTATTATTTTATCTAACTTACAGTTCGATTTGTGTAAAAATAATGAATTGCATATAGAAATTCTTGCCCTAAATCTGAAATTGTAAATTGAAATATTTCCAACTGCCTCTTAAAAGTATTATTTACAGCAGAACTTAAGCATTAGTCATAATGAAAGTATTACATTTTTTTCTGTAATGCAAGAACCAATGGCTGGATTCAATAAAAACCTTCATCTGACTTCCAAGTTGCACACTGAACCAGCCCAGAAAAATGTTCTATTTGGGGTCTTGTGTGGTATGGAAGCCACGTGGAATTTTATAGACTTCAACCCACATTGGCTTAGCTTTTGACTTTCACTGGCACAAGAGGGAGTTAGGTCTCAACTCCCATTGATTTTTTTCCCAGTAATTATCTTGGTCTTGCTTAATTGAATTAATCAAGCTAATGCCATACAGCCAGCTGTGTATTTTAATCTCATTTTTGTATGTGTTACAAAGACCAATATATTCAGAATCCATGAATATGCATGTGGTAATTGAAATAAACCGAGACCTCCTATAAAAGAGAAATTGTACTTACTGGGTAAGGGTGGTGGCTTTTGAAGTGATGGCCTGAAATAAATATTTAGACATTATTGAGAGGTCTGAGGAAATCTACGTAACCACTATTTGAATAACTGAGCATGTGTATGGAAGAAAGCAGTAACAGAAAAGTGCCCTCATGAGACTGAGGACTGAGTACTCCAGCATCTGAGCAAGGTGTATATCCTTTTCTAGGCCCTTTGTTTTGCATTCTGATGGATACATTTACCAGTCTTTTTATTTTTGCTACAGTTTGAAGTAAAGGTCTCAGGAAATAGAACTTTAAAAGGGAAGTAAAACTGTAGAGAGAAGAATGTTTCCCTCTAAATCTCTCACATCTTTGTTCAAACTTAGTCGCAAGTCTAAAGTCTCTAGCTACAAGAAAGGAAATGAAAGTAGCTTTTACATTTGCACTGCAGCTGGTAGGGGTGGAAGGGGGAGCTCTTGGCTGGAACCTCGTCGCCGTTCAGCTGCTGTGGGTTTCTCTGTAATATGGAAATAAGCTTTAGATTCACCATTAGCTTTAAAAAGAATCACCTCAAGTGAGAGATGATAACTTTAATTCATTTTTATTTGTAGAATAAACATTATTTTACTGTAACTTTTCCCTCACTCACACATTAAGTGAAATGCTCACACAAAGATTTTCTTGTGGTGCTCCCAGTGGATTTAAATGAGGACTTTTTACAAATGAACGGTGTGATATTGCTCATTAATGCTAGTGAATTAAAGCATAGGATATTTGACTAGTAATAAAAGCAAATGAAAAGTAGAATCTGGCCCTCCTTGTTTCTTCTACCCTTACTTTTGGTGAATGCTCTGCACTGGGGCTCACTTAAATGCTCCAAATGGCTCTCTTGTGGTATGAATTTCACCCTTTGAGTAGTCTATTACTTTGCCTACAGCCACAGGCTACGTCTACACTGGCAGCTTCTTGCGGAAGAACAGCCATTCTTCTGCAAAAACTTGCCAGCTGTCTACACTGCACGAGTGTTCTTCCAGAAGTAAATTTACAGCAAAGCATTGTAAAACAGGGCTTCTTCTGGAAGAGTTTTTCCTCTCCCCCCGAGGAATAAGCCCTCTTGAGCAGGAGCTCTTCCAGAAGAGGGCAGTGTAGAAAAGCAACATGAATTTCTTGTGCAAGAAGCCCCTATGGTTAAAATGGCCATCAGAACTTTCTTGCGCAAGAGGAAAAAGCACATGGCAGTGTAGATGCTCTCTAGTGGAAGAGTTTTTGCATAAGAACTTTTCCGCAAAAGAGGTCTTGCGCAAGAAGCTGCCAGTGTAGATGTAGCCACTGTTTTTAATGGGACTACTTGCAGAGAAAAATGCTACTCACTGCAAGTTATGGAGGGAGGGGACGGAGCGGCCCAATTCAGATTCTAATTTGCTAAAAAATGAAAGTTCAATTCTTATGATCATGGACTTCTTTTGAGTGTAATAAAAATGACTTACCTTCAGTAATACTTAAATTGTCTTTGTGTGGTACACTTGGTTTCTACAAATAAAACAAATATCAATCAGAACATTTGTATACTTAATCCAGTTAATATTCTGTAAAATAGAGAATCTTGGATATAGAATTACTCAAAATCCCTGATACTTGTAGTGAAGAACAATTATATGTATATTAGATCTCAAAATATGCATGAACCCTGTAAACAAACAGTTGCACGAGGAGTAACAGTTAATTCCAGAGAAGGGTTTTGGATCGGACTACCGCATCTACATGCGGAGAGTTAATTCAGGCTACCGCCATTTTAAAATGGCGACCTGCCGCAAATATGCTAATCAAGCATGGGATATTTAAATCCCGCACTTCATTAGCAACTTCGGTATGCTTCATTTGCCTCCATAGTTCGAACTAGGGAGCAAGCGTAGAGATACCCTTATAAACTAACCAAACATATAGACGGTATCATGAGCTATGGTGGGCACAGCCCACTTCTTCAGATGACCGGAGTTATGAGTATCCCCTACTCATACCTCCGGTAAGCTGAAGAAGTGGGCTGTGCCCACCAAAGGTCATGATACCATCTACATGTTTGGTTAGTCTATAAAGTGCTACCAGACTATTTGTTGTTTTTTTCTGTAATAGACTAACATGGCTACCCCCTGAAGCTCCTAATGTAGATTTAGTTCTCTATCGTGTTAAAAGGATTCCATCCTTTCAGATTTCGATCAAAATTTAGATTGAGTTTTCTAAAAGCTTAAACCCAAAAGAAATGTTTCCATAAGATTTTTATTTTAATACTAGTGATCACATTTTAAAACAAGTCATTACTCCTATGTAATATTCGCAAGCTAAATTTTGCAATATTCATTGTCCAAGCTGAAAGGAATACAAGAACTAAATGCAGAATAAGAAGAGTGAGAAATATTTTTTTTTCAGTTTTAATAATCCAAGTTGGTAGGTATAGGAATTTGTTTAAACTATGATTACATTAACTGTATCCCAGTTAATGCATTATTTAGCAACATTGCAACAGTAAATGGTCATGCAAAGCAATCTGGCGTATTGGCAAAAGTGTATGTGAAGTTTGAAGAAAAGGTTTTTCCTCTTGCTATTTACATTTGAATTGGCAGGGATGTTGTGATTGGGGTGATAAGGGCATTGCCTTCACCTACAAGGAATTCAGCTGGATGATTGTGCAAATATGACAGATTTTGCAACATAAACTTGGAAAGACTCTAGCCCTGTTTATGTTAACAAGAGAAATCTAAGGAAAACCCCATTTTGACCTTGAGATATTACTTGTGTCCCTGGGGTGATATTTTATTCCCATGCTGTAGGAAAGACTCCTGAATACATCAGGGAGAATTTTGGGGCAAAATCTGAGGACTGAATATAGTTCCAAATAATTCTCACTTGTTTTCTCGAGTCTCGTTAATGATCATTCTACCACTATCTCCTGGGGAAGAGAATTCATATACTGATACCTATCTGGGGGAAAAAGATGGCCTCAAATGTATTTAATCCAGGAAAGCCCATGTGTTTTTTCCCTTTGCTGCTGGGTTCATATACATTCCATAGCCAAGTCCTTGTAACTTATTTTAATTGCATATATACTAGTATG